AAGTTCCACAGACAGAGAGCGCCGCATAGACTACGCTAGTCGAATTCCCAAGACTTTAGAGAGAAAGAGACATGGCAAATTCACTGCCCGCGTTCGACATTTGCGAATTTGCGCGAATCAATTTTGGATAGAATATCAAATTCGCAGTTCTCCCTCCTCTTAGGTAGTTAAAGCCGCTGTTTCCGCATCCATCATAAGCTGCGTGAGCGTACTCGGACAGCCCGCATCCATCGACACCGCCTTATTTTATTTTCTGCCATGGATTCGCTCCTCTACTCGCGTTGGATGCGCCTTTAATTAAGTGACCTTCTCTTCGAAACCCAGAATCCGACATGCGTATCTCGTCCCTCCGCGTGTGTGTATGTGTGAGCTGGATGCGTGAAAATAATAGCATATACTTTACGCACCTGAATTGTTTTTATACCAGCGCTTAGCAACGAGAAAAGGCGGAACACTGCTTGAAGGTTGTTCAAGCACTTGTTTTGTTGGATCCACTCTACTTCTCCAAAAAAGCGAGCCGCAATATGTCAGCTCGAGCCGGTTGACTTTGACGAGCCGTGTTCACTCTTGTAAGCTGTCTTTTGCGACTGAACGCTAATGCAGCCTCTTTCTGCGCACATTGGACACCTACATTCGCCTTCATTCTGTTTAATAAGTTATGACTGTATTCTGCAGCGCACTTGGACAATGACCAGCGATGTTGGCGCATTGGCAGACTTTCCATATCTGACGCAAGATGAATTTGCTCAGTGTATTAGGCGCTTTGTGGAGCGGTATGCGGTAGAGCTAACGGAACGCGGTGTTACTGATACCGGCATAGTTGTGCGTGGCCGCGCAGCATGGCAGCAGTATTTGCAGCTACGCAAGCCACTGCTTTCAGAACAAAAGAGGTGCGACATTAGCACTGGTCCCTCAGAAGACAGTATAGAGGCGGAGCTAGAGGATGCCGATCCGCTGCAACAGACTCAACCGCCTGAGAGCACCACTAACGAGAGTAGCGGATATGTGGAATACCATATAGTCTACTCGCGCACATGGCGCGTACCAGTGGTGTATGTGCGCGCATATCAGACAGACGAAGCCGGCAATATGCAGGCGGTTTTAGAAGTGGGGCGTGTAGTGGATTTGTTAGTTACCGATAATGCGGTACGCGGTGCAATGGCGGCGGTAGATTTTGGCGGGGCATTAGGCATCCAGGATCATCCAGTGCTGGGACACCCCTTCCTGTATCTACACCCCTGCCATACTGCCACGCTACTGCGGGCGGTAGTCGCGCCTTCCTCGGATGATGAGAGCAGCGCTGTGCAAATCGGCATGGATAACTATGTCGCAGCCTGGCTGAGTCTTGTTGGCCCCGCTGTGGGCCTGGCCCTACCCTGCGTGTAGCTTTATCAGCAGCGTTTCCTTTATGTAGTATTCTGCGACATATGGAAGGTGAAACAAAATGTTCTTTTATGCATTTCTTCCAACACCAACAAACACGGGCGGTGTTCTCGGCCATCCCTGCTGACCCCATCCTCCCCCTTTGTTGCTCTTTTTTGGGCAGCAGATGGGGTGGCGTCTTGCGTACAAATGTCATGGCACTGCCGGGCTCGTTTGTTATATCATGATGAATGGTGGGAGGAACGTAAGTAGGCCAGCAAAAAGTACTGCTGTTATCCATCCACGCCTTGTTCTACTTGTCTTTTTTTTTTTTTTGTTCATAGATTTTTTTATAGTCGCTCTATGTATAAGAATACAACACTATCTAGATAATCATTTTATTTTATCAAGTAGCACACAGACATGGTCAAGATAATCCCAGTGCGAGCGCGGGAGCTAACCCAGCGCTCTATAGCGTTTGTCTGGCGACGCGTTCGACGGAACTGGTGGCTAGATCGCGTCTGTATAGCCTTCCTGGTAACTACAGGCATTGTATTTGGGCTCTCATATTATTTTATGAACGTGATGGCCAATGTTGCATCACAGCGCAGCAAGCTAATAGAGGACGCGCTAGGCATTCGGTACACGCTCCCAGACGTCTTCTTTGAGTTTATCGGGATGCTGGAGATGCTATGGATGACGGACATGTTCGACGCGCTAATGTTCGTGCCGACAGCGCTCCTGGTAATTTCGCACGAGCGGCCGTGGCGGGTGGTATCCCGGCTTCTGCTGGCGTGGGGGCTGGCGTCGCTTATTCGCATTACCACGGTGGCAATCACGTCGGTGCCAGATCCGCGCCCGTCCTGCCAGTATGTCGAAGGCAATGTATTCACCGCCTTTACATTGCATCGGTGCGGAGATGCAATATACTCGGGACACACGCTGATATTTGTAGTGTGTGCGATGGTGTGGACATCCTTTGCGCCCAAGAACCTGGTTGGACGTGTGCTGACGACATGCGCGTGGGGCCTGTGCATCGCTGGGTCGCTGATAGTAATTGCCAATCGCGCGCACTACACGATCGACGTGCTGCTGGCATGGTACATTGCACCTGGGGCGTGGTACACGGTGGCGTGGTTCTGGTACTGGCATGTCACCAAGAAGGGCAGGCTGCTGAGAATCGAGTTCCCTGTGGAAGTCGGCCGCCACCGCGACAAGGACACGCCTGAGATGTGCCAGCATCGGCGAGTGCAGCTTGGTCTGATGCGCGATGGCACGCCGTATGATCCGGTGGCGATGTATCTCAACATTATGCGCGGCGAGGAAGGAGGTGAGCTCTCGCCAGCTTTGGAGGAGCGCGAGTGCTCGATCCCTAATGCGCCTATCAACGAGAAGAGCAGCAGCCCCGAGGCAGATCTCAGCGGCTCCAGCGTTGGACTAAAGGACGAAAGCTGCATTGTCATTTCCGAGGACTTTGACGCGGACGACCACCAGCCTGGCAGCTCCTCACGAGATCGCTCGCAGCCCTAGGCGATGTCCCTCCCAGCATTCCCACACAATAACCTGCTTACTGTGTTCAGTACGGATCTGCAACTATTGCCTGTTGTCGCAGCAACAGGCCATTTATCTGCACAATATATGGCGTGACGCTCGGACGGTTCTTATGCGACTAAGCGTTTAGGAAGTCTTTTTTTTTTTTTTTCCCTTGGTCCAGTTGGACTGTCCAGGATCTCTTTTCCCCTTCATCTTTCTTCCTATTTTCTGCCATTAAAAAAAGGAACGGATCGCTTTAAACCTTCCTTTGTTCCGTGTCTTTATTCTCTACTTTGAAGTTTCATAAACTTACTTTTTTTTTGGTACACTTTTTTCTTAATTACAGCAGCTGCAGTTTTTTTTTCAAATGACGGTTCCAGAGACATTCTCGCTGGACGAGAACCCTGACTGGCCTACACAGGGCGTATACGAGTATGCAGACCATTACAGCAGCCAGAAGGAGGTAGTTAGTTTTGCCGACTTTATCAATACAAGCCATGTACACGCGAACTATGACCACGTTATAATCGGCGCTGGGCCTATTGGTGCAGCGCTTGCATATAAGCTGGCGCGAGACCGACCCGACGGACGGCTGCTTTTGATCGAGAAAAGTTGGACCGAGCCAGACCGCATCGTTGGCGAGCTAATGCAGCCGGCAGGGTGCCAGGCGATGGAGCGACTGGGTCTGGGCAATGCATTCAGTGGGATTGGCGCGGTGCCTGTACATGGGTATCATATTGCGTACAGCGGAAGACATCTTTTTGTGCCGTATATGATGCGACCAGATGGACAGGGGCGGTTCCGCGGCAACAGCTTTCACCATGGACGTCTGGTCATGAATCTCCGGGCTGCATGCAAGGCCCAGACCAACATAACTTGCCTCGAGGCATCGGCGGTAGAACTCATAGGCGAGGTGACAAAAGGCGGGCGCTTGGAAACTGTTCGCGGAGTGCGTCTTGGACCATCACGGACAACAGATGAGAATGGAACTGGCAACGGACCGATAGTATGTCCACGCGGTCTGACATTTGTATGCGATGGAATCATGTCGCAGTTCCGCAAGCACCTACACGGAGCTCCGGTTGAGCCGATCTCGCACTTTTGCGGGTTTGTGTTGGAGCACGAGCCAGCGGCTACTGCAGAATATTTTGATGGGCCAACAGGTGCGACAGAGCATTTGGCGCGACCCAATGAGAAGAGCATTCGGGAGAATCCCCTTCCAATGCCGCACAACGGCAATGTACTGCTGGATGGCGTAGGCCCAGTATTGCTTTATCAAATGAGTGAGCGCGAGACGCGTGTGCTGGCAGATATCCCCGGATCTCTGCTGCCGTCGGAAGCTGGTGGACACTTGCGACGTGTGCTGCGCCAGTCTTTGGAAGCTGCTGCGCCGAAAAGCCAGTTTCCAGGACTGCAGGCACAGCTGATGCAGGCGCTTGATGACTCTAGACGCATCCGATGCATTGGCAGCCGCTTTATCCCAGCAACAGGCAAATCGGCTCATGGAGCCGTGTGGTTGGGCGACGCGTTGAATATCCGCCATCCTCTGACAGGTGGTGGAATGACCATAGGACTCTGGGACGTGGTGATTCTGACCGATCTGCTTGCTTCCACAGCCTCCACTGCTGCACTGTCTGAGGATCCCCGTACATTACGCCGCATAAAAGCACAATGGCATTGGCGCCGTCGGCCCCGCGCTCTCGTGGTCAATGTACTCTCAGTAGCATTGCATGCTCTATTTGCAGCTGATTCTCAGGAGCTAGGCTTGCTACGCGAAGCCTGCTTTGATTATCTTGCCCGTGGCTCTCATTTCACTATGGAGCCCTCGGGCTTCCTCTCTGGTCTTTTGCCTAACCCAATGTTGCTGCTGTTCCACTTCTTCAGCGTGGCCTTCTTGGCCATTCGTCTGCGCATCTCTGGCCGCTCTACTGCATACACTGGCGGCTCATTGCCAGTTCGTATCTACACGGCTTTTTACACACTTTATATTGCTGCTAGCGTTATTCTTCCTGTTATGTGGTCAGAGCTTCAACCCTAGTTTTCTTTTTGTTGCCTGCAAAAAAAAAAAAGGAAAAAAAGTTTCGTTATAAACGCAAAATAAAAAGCGCCTCGTGTGGGGCTCGAACCCACGACCCTCTGGTTAAAAGCCAGATGCTCTGAGCCACTGAGCTAACGAGGCATGCAAATCACGCCTAGCATCAAGCTAATCTACAATATTCACACACTAAATGTTGTAAAAATAATTAAACGTACGTATTCCATTAAATACAAAGGAAAGCTATGAGATCTTGCAACTACTTTTAGACGCAATATTAAGCGTTTAAGAGGTAGTACTCCACATTTTCTTTGTATAGGTCTTGGATAGTCCAACTCTGGTGCATTATTCTGGCTACGAAAGTTCTCTGCACAAATATCAAGTTGGCTTAAAAGTTTCTAATTACTGTGGTTATTTAGTTCTTAGTCAAGTGCTGGCAGGGGTTTATTTGGCTAAAAACATGTATGGTCAATGTTTGGTGATTAGAAAAAATGCTACCGCTTGCTACTCACCTGCAACAATCTGATCTTCATGGCCCTCCTCGCCCTGACTGCGCTGAAGTCTAAGAAGGCATATTCTTACTTCATCCTCCCAATCAACCCAGGCGTAAGCATATATAAATTGCACTAGCGAGATAAGTACAACTGCTATGCAAACACTCCACCACAGACCCAATGCTCCCATGTGCATTCCGAAGCCCAAATACAGCCCAAGTGGCACTCCAATACAATAAAAGCCGATCATATAAGCCCAAGCACTTACTTTCTGCCGTCCTAGCCCGCGCATAATAGACCTTAGCACTCCGTTCAAGGCATCCCAAACAATATACGTGTATATTACTGGCATAATCCTTAGTATTTCATCAATTACCTCCTGATCGTTAGTATACAAGGATATCCACCACTGACCATAAAATGTGAGAAACAGCATACAAATGAAACCTATGGCTGCTGCTGCTACGACGGTCATATCTCGAGCAATTCGCGCTTGGCGAGGTTTTCCATCGCCAATCAGATTGCCGATGCGAGGTGTGGTGCTATACCCAAGCCCATTGCTGATAAAGAATATAAGGGTACCAATATTAATTGTAATTGCCGTAGCTGCAATTGACTTGGTACCAAAGTATGAAGAACCAACATTAAGAAGCTCAAAGCAAACCCATTCGGCGCATAGAGCTATTGTTCCCGGTATTGCCAAGTGGTAGAACTCGGACATGTTATTTAGTATCCTGTAATCCCATCCGCCCCA